TGTTCAAAAACAATTTGAGGTGTTATGTGCCTTTATGGAAATATGCCTTTGACACAGTTTGCTACTCCGATTCTTTATCAGACTTCAAATAACCAAAATATCTCCAGAATATTTCCTTGGACCCGTCTTTTCCAACAGTGTCCTCGTCTTGTGAGCCCTGGGCTTGTCCTTTCAGGTGTCTTGTTCGGTAATGCTACAGCTCACGTTTTCCTTCACAATTTGGTGTCCTTTGGTCTTCTATCCTGCTCACACGCCTAACATACTGCTATGCCCAGCTGTAGTAGAATTATCACCTAGCTGTTTCTGAGTGATTTGCTACTAGATTGGTGAATAAACGTGTGTGTGTGTGGACCCCAAGTTAGAGAACAACAACAATGTCACAGTAGAGCAGACAATAGTCTAGCAGATTCACATCATTTCCAGAAGTGGTGAGATTGGAGCTGACGTTAACCATCTCCTGTCATGTGCCACATGTAAGAAACGTTACGTCCCCATCCTGACCGTCACAAGATTTTTCAGGCTTCTCGTGTGAATACACCTTTAGTTGGTCTACTTTTCAAATAACCGCTCAAAAGTTTGTTCCTCCACTTCTGTAACCGCACAAAGGTCCAGCCAACATATCTATATTTGAGTGGAAATGACTGTTTGCTAAGAAAACACTCACCCATCTTTGTCTTCATACAGGTCTCTGAGATTTGCGCTCACTTCCATATACCTCTGCAAGAAGAAGCGCAGACACGTTTTTACCAGCGTTGACCATTAACAGTGAAAAGTTGCTAATTATCAAAAGTGATTCTTTGTCTCCAATGTGCGTCTCTGAAGTCAGGTTTTAACCATTTATATTTTACACCTAGTTTTAATGACCTCTGATGCACTTGGGGGCAGATTTTCGGGGTGTCATTTCGTTGTGACACCGCTTCATTCAGTACATCTGATTACGTTCTTTATCTGACCGCTTTCCCCGTGATTAGTGTAAGAAAAAGCATCAAATCCGCTAATAAATTGTGCTTTGCACGTTTACAAAATTGTAACCTGGGTTTTATGAAAGGTTAGTTATTCGTTGAATTCCCAGCAAATACTATTAGCCAGTTGGTGAGAGCAGTTTTAAATGAGTCCAAACTCTTACTCACATCCAACATCGCTCTTGTTCGATGGTCAGAATTGATTTGTTCACGCAGCTGAAATGAGAGTTGGAAAAAACACACGGACAAATGTTAATTTCAGCGTTTCTGGGATTTACGACCAAGCGTAGCAATGCTAAAGCTAGCCTTAAGTGGCACCACTCACCGTCGACTTCTTGTGTAACATTTCTTTAGTTTTAGCATCCATTAGCCTCTCTTTCTCTTCGTGATAGCGACGCTGTTGTTCTAATATAGTCTCCATTGTCCGCAAAAATGTAGAACGTTTACTGGAGACGAGCTAAGGTTTCTAATGGGGTAGAATACAAATGAACGAAAGCGG